GAGACGGGGTTTCACCATGTTGACCAGGATGGTCTCGATCTCTTGACCTCGTGATCCACCCGCCTCGGCCTCCCAAAGTGCTGGGATTACAGGCTTGAGCCACCGTGCCCGGCTGTCTTTTTCTTAATAAAATTCCTTTTTTGACTTGAGCCAGATAGTGCTTGGTTTCTGTCACTTGCAACAAAATGACTTAAGACATTAACATATTTAGTCACCATTCATTGAGCTGCAGCCAAGTGCCACGTCCTTTTCTGAACATGGTACATGCACCTTTATTTAACCCTTGTAACCACTCTAAGAAGTAGGAACTATTGACACTTCCATTTTACAGGTAAGGAAAGTGAGGGTCAGAATGTATTCTTGCCTAAAGACAGAAAGTCACGTCTGAATTCTGCTGCTGGGTGATACTTACCATTGAGAAAGTTGTTGTCCTTTAAAAATTAATCCTGGTGGTCAGGTGTGGTGGCTCATGCCGGTAATCCCAGCACTTTGGGAGGCTGAGGAGGGCAGATCACCTGAGGTCGGGAGTTCGGGACCAGCCTGGCCAAAATGGTGAAACCCTGTCTCTGCTAAAAATACACAGATAAGCCAGGTGTGGTGGCAGGCACCTGTCATCCCAGTTATTTGGGAGGCTGGGGCAGGAGAATCTCTTGAACCCAGGAGGCGGAGGTTGCAGTGAGCTGAGATTACACCATTGCACACCAGGCTGGGTGACAAAAGGAAGACTTGTTTCAAAAAAAAGAAATTAATCTTGGTTACTCACATTCAATCCTATATTATTCATCTTGATCCCTAGGCTTTTATGGGGAGTAAGGGGGTGAGTGGCATATAGGAGGGTTAGTCATAAATCCATAAAAATACATCCAGAATCATCCTGATGTAGTGTCCTTCCCCACGGATTAAACCTTTCCAGTACAGTTTCTGTTCTTCCCTGGCAAGCCATCCTGGGGCTGGTCATTTTCATTGTTAGAAAATGCTTCAAGTTGTGCTGAAATCCAGCTCTTTGTAACTGCTATGCACTGTTTTCATCTAATGCCTAAGGCTATTTTAAACCATTCCTGGGATGAGGCAGGAGGATAATCCTGCAGCTAGAGCTACATGGAATTTAAGAACAAAGTAAACATTCTGAGCTTCCTGGCAGGCAAGGCAAAAAGGGAAAGCCTTTCTGTTCTCAGAGTCTGGTCACTAGGCAGACCAGCTTCATCAGAAGAGGCTGAGCTTACTGCAGTGGTTTTCAACCAGGGCGATTCTCTCCCATTCAGAAGACATTTGGCAGTGTTTGAGACATTTTGTTACAGGTGGGAGGGAGAGGTACTACTGGCATCTACTGAGTAGAGGACAAGGCTGGCACCAAATATCCTACAATGCACAGGACAGCCTCCAATAAAGAATGATCTGATCTAAGACGTCGATCAATGACAAGCCCTGGTTTAACCTGAAGTAACTCAGAGGAGCATGATACTGAATATCTTTAGAGGACATATTCTACAGCTGGCAGAATCTTGCGTGGTCGATGTGGATACCATATGTAGTCAAAGAGTCATTTTGCTCCCACAAGATGCAAAGCTGGACTCCTGCCTTTCCTGCAGAAATGACAACCTGGCCTAGAAGAACTGATGTCAATCAGGAAATGGCTCCTGGCCAGGGCTGAGATTGGCTCAACTTCATGGTTCACTGGATTGGGGTCCTTGGTTTTTGGAGGTTTGATTTTTGGTTCAGGAAAGCCATGTTCACTCCTTGAAGCTGGATGTTCAACAGCCTACAGAGGCAGGACCTGGGCATGGCCACCAAGGCCCACCTTATCCCAGATAGACCTTTCTCCTTGCCACATCCCGGACCGCAAAGGTCAGGCGCTGTCCAAGGTTCTGGTTCTTGTTAGGCCCTGTTTGTCACTCACTTGCTATAGGGTGCCATCACATCATCCTCCTTTTGACCCTTTACATTTTGTCCCTGGCAGAACATTTACCCTCCTAGACCTCATAATGTCTTGATGGCTTTTGTCAATTTGCTCCTGAATTCTGCTCTGACTTGGGGGCCAGTTGACCAGACAGCCAGTGCACCATTCGGCCTCTAGTCTCTGCCCATGATGGAAAAACCTGCTGGGTCATTATTCTCAGCTGTGTCCACCCCTCCATGTCCTCTACAGGTCACACCCAGTGTCCCCACCATTGAAAGCTTTTTCCCTACACCCTGGCTTTCGCCACTTTCATCCTCAGAAGTGAAGCTTCTCCTCCACGACCCCAGCCCCATGCACTCAAAAGTGTGTAAATTTCTCATGTATAACAGCCTCATGGAAGAGTTACTACTTATCCCCATTTCATAGATGAGCAAATTGAGGCTCAGAGGGGTTAAATGACTTGCCCAAACTACTATCCAGGACATGGAGGAGTCTGGGTTTGGACTATGTCCATCCAGCCTCTCCTGCTCCGTGGGATCTATGTTCTCAAACCAGCCACACCAATATCTCTGTTCAGCACTATGACTTCATGCTTTTTGTTTGTTTGATGGAGTTTTTGCTCTGTTGCCTTGACTGGATGCAGTGGTGCAATCATATAGCTCACTGCAGGATCAAATTTCTGGACTTAAGTGATTCTCCCACCTCAGCCTCCTAAGTAGCTGAGACTACAAGCACATAGAACCATGCCTGCCTTTTTTTTTTTTTTGAGATGGAGTCTCACTCTGCCTCCCAGGCTGGGGTACAGTGGTATGATCTTGGCTCACTGAAACCTCTGACTCCCAGGTTCAAGTGAGTCTCCTGCCTCACCCTCCCGAGTAGCTGGAATTACAGGCTCCCACCACCACATCTTGCTAATTTTTTGTATTTTAGTAGAGATAGGGTTTCACCATGTTGGCCAGGTTGGTCTCAAACTCCTGACCTCAGGTGATCTGCTTGCCTCGGCCTCCCAAAGTGCTGGGATTACAGGTGTGAGCCACTGCACCGGGCCAATTATCTTATTTTTTGTAGAAACAGGATCTCCCTATGTTGCCCAGGCTGATCTCAAACTCTTGGCCTCCCATAGAGCTGGAGTTACAGGTGTGAGTCACTGCGCCCAGTTTTGACTCCATACTCTTCATGGCAACGCAGCAACAATAGAGTCATCCTCTCCAATGCAGTCCCTGCCTCCAACCCCCACCCACCCAAGCATCCTCTGGAGACTGGCTGACTGATGGGAAGGAGTGGGATGTTGCCAAGGTGGCATTTATTGCCGGCTGGGGCACGGGTATATAGGGAGCTGGGGGGCCCGAGGGTCCAGCTTCTCCCTGAAACCGCGCTGGCGAGGCGTGCCCAGGGGCACGAAGCTGTCCTGAGGATTGTTCAGCCTCTGAACTGCTGGGCCCGGGTACTTGAAAGGAAACTCGTCCTTGTATTGGGTTGAGAAGAAGCGCAGTTCACCCAGAGGGGGCTCCATGTGGCTGTATTTGCACTGTGGAGTCAGGGTGAACAGCTTGGCAAGGCAGCTTCGGATGTGGCTGACCCACCCAGGATCCCCAACCCTCTTGTCGAGGGGAGGAGGGGGCAGGCAGGGCAGGCTAGCTGGTCGGGGGCGGAGCCAGAGTCTCACAAAGGAGGAGGGGTTAAGACTGGGAAAGAGAAGGTAGGGAAAGGGCGGGATTGTCCAGGGGTGGAGTTGGGGTTCTGGTCAATTACTGGTGAGATTTAGCCCTTAAGGAGGTGAGGCTAGGGGTAGCGTGGGGCCAGTTAGGGCAGAGCCAGAGCATCAAAGGCTGGGGAGGTTGAATCCTGGGAGGAGGTGAACAGAAGGTGAACATGAAGAGCTCATGAGAGAAACCAGGGGTGTCCCTGGAAGGAGTCCAGGGCTGGGGTGATCCTAGGTGACTCTGAATTAACCCTCGTCTTGGGAATAACAGTGGTGGTGGTGCAAAGATGCCCCTGGGCTGACCTTGACATGACCCTGGGGGGTGAGGTAGGGGGTGATCTCTTTTTTTTTTTTTTCTTTTTTTGAGGCAGAGTCTTGCTCTGTTGCCCCGGCTGGAGTGCAATGGCACGGTCTCGGCTCACTGCAACCTCCACCTCCTCGGTTCAAGAAGTTCTACCTCAGCCTCCCGAGTAGCTGAGATTACAGGCACAGGCCACCACACCCGGCTAATTTTTGTATTTTTAGTAGAGCAGGGGTTTCGCCATGTTGGCCAGGCTGGTCTTGAACTCCTGACCTCAGGTGATCCGCCCGCCTCGGCCTCTCAAAGTGCTGGGATAACAGGCGTGAACCACTGCACTCGGCCAAGCTAGGGATGATCTTGAGGCTGAAGGGATATTAAGATACCCCCGAGCCAGGGTGATCACTAACTCAGGCTGGGTGACAGCATAGTCAACCTGAGATAAATCTATACCCATGTGGGGGTTACATAACGAAGGGTGGCTGCCTTCCTCCTCCCTCACCCGCTGCAGCATCTCTTCAGTCACCGGGGCCGGAGTTGTTCTGTGTGGCTTCAGCATCTTCTGGTTCATGGTTAAAAAATCGAATTCTGGAGATTCGGGTGGGGAAGGCTGAGTTGAGGGCTGTGGGCCGAGGCGGGGCTGAGGATGTGGGGAAGTTCAAGGGAAGGGTTCAAGGCCAAGCCCAGGCCAGCGCTGATGTTGACCAGGAGAGAAGAATGGATTAGAAGAGGGAGAAGGGAGCCAAAGGAGGAGGGAGGAGCCAGAGAAAGGGGGAAGAGCTGGGGAAGAGCTGGGGAAGAGGGAGGAGCTGGGAGAAGGGAGGAGTCAGGGGAGAAGGGAGGAGCCAGAGGAAGGGGGAGGAGCTGGGGAAGAGAGAGGAGCAGGGGGAGGAGGGAGAAGCTAGGGGAGGAACCCGGAGCTAGGGCATAAGGCTAAGAAGGTCAGGGGCGGGGCCAGGGCAGACGAGCCTGGTGCCGGGCTAGGCAGGGCTGGCTGGCCAGTCAGGGGCGGAGCCAGAGTCTGACAACGGAGGCGGGGTTAAGAATGGGCGAGAAAGGATGGGGAAGGGGCGGGGCTATGGCCATAGGGTGGAGTTATGAAGGGGCGGGGCATGGCCACGAAGGGGCGGGATTATTCAGGGGCGGAGTTGGGGTTCTGGTCAATTGGAAGTGGGATTTAGCCTTGCAGGAGTTGACGCCAGGGTTAGGTGGGGCTCGTTAGAGGCGGGGCCAGAGCAGTGGCAGGTGAGAAGCTTCCAGGACTGGGCTTCCTGGGGCGGAGCTTCTGGGGGTCGTGGCTTCCAGAGGCGGGGCTTCAAGGGGCGGGGCTCATGGGGCGGGAATCCCCGGGGTGGGGCTTTCAGAGGCGGGGCTCCACGGGGCGGGCTCCATAAGGTGGGGGGCTTCCCACGAGCGCTCACCGCCAGTGCCCTGCGGCAGGTTGCTCTGCTGCAAGTGGAGGTTGGGTGCTTTCTTCACCTGCCTCCACTCTGAGGGGCAGTAGTGCGAGCCCATGGTGGTCTTGAAGAAGCATCTGAGCAGCTTTGGCTCCCCTAGCGTCACGTGACTCTGCAGTTTCTCGTGAGGCACGTGGCGGCTGGGTGGCTGGGTCGGGGGTGGCGGCTGTAGGACCACACGGCATTTGAAAGCTCTGGTGTCCGAGAGGTCCCCGGGTCCGGGGGCGGGGGGAGGGAGGAGGTGGGCTCTGTGTGACCTTGGATAGCTCTCTCACCCTTTCTGGGCCCCACGTGGTAGCTCTGGGAGTTGGTACTCTTATCACATTTTACGGAAAGACCCACCGAGGCTCAGAGTGGTGAAGTGACTCGCCCTAGATCACTCAAGTACATCCAGGAGATTCCTGCATACACATATCAAGTTCGCTCCCACATTGGGACTTTTGCACCTGCTATTTGCTCTGTCTGGGAAGCCCTTTTTCCTGCTGCCTCTTTGCTCTTTCGGCTGACCTGGCCATAGAAGTACTGCATGAAGGTGTCCAGACTGCCAGGGCCGGGGCACCAATTTCCTTTCAGGATGTGCGACTCCGGAGTCTGATCGTGGTGAAGAACAAAAGGCTCTGCCAGGAGCACAACGGGTGCAGAGCTGCCCTGGGAGGCTGAGGTGGGAGGCGGGGTGGGGCGGGCCGCAGGCTCTCACCTGGCTCCCGGGCATAGAAGTGCTCGGTCTTGGTGGTCCTGTCGTGGAAGAGGCCATCTCCAGGACGGATACTTACATAGTGGATGTGGGCTGCGGCCTGGGTCTTGTCATACCTGCACATAATGTATTATTTTATCAAGAATAAAGTAAAGTGGGCTGGTCACGGTGGCTCATGCCTGTAATCTC